TCCATTACTCTTTTTTTCTTTGTTTGCATTCTGGATGCATTTCATTTATATGTATTAAAATTTGCCAGTGTAAGGTAGCAAGCATCATAAATTTAGTGATCCTACCGTGTAAACCAAAGCTTCTACATCCATATAGACTGTTTCTTTCTGGTAGACTTTTTTGTTTTCTGGATGCCATGTGCCTCAAGCAAGAAAGCTAGACTTTTAAGGTTATGTATCATCTAGTCATAGCAGATGGCCTGTTTCCAGTAATATGCTTTTATTTCTGTCTCCTGTCTCCTGGCTAATGATCATTCTTTGTATCTCTTTATCATCCTATAGTAACTGTAGAACTAGTTCTGATATTACCAATAAGAATTTGTTATGAATAATGCAAAAATATACTTAAATTAATAATTTGATTGATAATTACTCTAACAGATCGAATTGTGTAGGCTTTTGATAAGTACAATATGAAGAGATGCTTTGCATTTTGATACTTTCCCAGCCTGTACAGAAAATAATAGCTTCATAGCTCTGTGCCCTTATTGCTGAGATATGACTGAGAAAACAGCATGCCGTACAGTGCTGCACGTTCATTTTCATCTAGTACCCATTTATTGCCCTGAGCACTGTAAATCTGTCAGCTCTTCACGATGCTTTCACCTCTTTCTTCATTTGCTCTAGCTTCTAGTTTGACAATGTTCCCCTGAGGCAGAATTCTAATCTGCTTCCAATTAGTTGCAAAATGTGACTGAAATTTCCACATTATGACTGCTGTTTTACTTGCACGAACACATCTAGAAACAAATTAATGCTCTTGAATATTTATTTTGTGAGCTCTTAGATTTACTTTCGGGAGGAAATCACAAAATGTTTTTAAGTGATGTACAAGGGCTACATTTTCACTAAAATTTTAAATATGGGCTTTAAATTTAGTTTTTTATAACTAAAAAAGTGAATAAAATATTTTTGGCATCTTGAGGTTCTTGGTCATTTATTATGAAGGGAGGAGTTACATATTGCTGAGTTTTCAGTAATTATTTCATCCCGTTTTCAGTAATGGCTTTGTACTGGAAACAAAAATAAGCAAAAGGTCTGTCTCTTAAATTCCATGTAAAGAATATATGTTTTAAAAATATTGTTCTCCAGCATGACGAGTGGAGAATCCACCAATGGGTTTTCCTCGTCTTCTGCCCGTAGACTAGTCGGCCAATTTTGCTCCGCCTCTCATCTTGAGACTTCCCCTCCCCAGTCTCGACTAGTCTTGAGCCCGATTAGACTGAATTTCGTTGACTCCTGAAGATAAGGTCGTATCTCTTGATATTTCTTGATATTCTGACTAATTTGAAGGGGAATCGCTAGAAAACGAACGCCTGTTTGCTTTCCTTTTCCCTTTCTGCTGCCTGATCGGCTGATCGCGGCACAGCCACGAGGTTGGCTTGAGTCCAGCCGGTAGCCAGACAGACAAAGAGCGGACGCCATTTTCCGGTCACCAAGTGTGACCCTGGGCAAAAGGGGGAAGCATTCCTCCTTCTCCTTCCATTTCACCCCTCCCACAGGGATTTCCAGCCACAAGAGGAGAGCTTCCCACTAGCCAGCTGATCCGCGGGTAAATTTAAACCTCCCGCATTTCCTACGGCACCCTGTGAGCCGCGGAGGGCTGAGCACTTGCAGGCTTTTCTTCCGAAACTAGCCGAATCATCCGAGAATCAGCTGGTCTGCGGAGAGCCTTTAAACTCCGCGACTCTCTCCCGAAGATCAGCTGGTCCGTGGAGAATTGCAGCTCCGGTAGAGAGCTAGTCTTCAAAAGTTACCTGATTTGGCTCTGTTCTCAGACGCAAACGCAAACGGAGTTCAGCAGCCTGCAGGGAGCACTGCTGAGCTGCACAGGCAGAATATCTACCTCCAAGTGGTCTGAGGCCAGGGAATTGGAGTCAGACTTCCTTCCTTCTTCCTAGCCACGCCAATAATAATAAATAATAATAATAGTAATAGTAATAATAATGATGATGATGATGATGATGATGATGATGATGATGAAATTGATAAAGAGTTAAATCAATTATCAATTAATCCTGAATTAGCCTGAACTGAGAATCCCCTTCAGTCTTATAAATGGCAGATACAAACACAGCCCAAACAGCGCAGGAACCTTCCATCAGCAGCCCTCCTGCTCGTAAGAGACAGAGATCCTCCAAACAGGAAGTGGCTGGCAAGATCAAGGCCAAGGCAATCTCTGCAAAAAGGCCTTCCAAAGCTGCGGATAGAGAGGCTAAGTGATGACACCAGGCTCTAGAGAAACAATTTTCTCGAGCTGAAAGGAGGCAAAATTCCTCTGAGAATGAATTAGAGCCACCCAATTACAGGGAGAAGAAAATATTTGGCCCAAGGAAGCCTAGTCAGGACCCTCTGGAAGCAGAGGCCGATACGGAACAGGGGAATGGATCTCCCCTAAGCGAGGGGCCTGGAGATCTGGGTTCAGAATCAGGCACCCGTCGCTCAGACATTCATGGAGCAATATCTTCAGAGCACCTACAATCCCTGATATCTCAGGCTGTTGCACAGGCCATAGCCTCCTCAAGGCACCATTGTTCCAGAACAGGGTCTGTGGCTTCAAGGGGCGACTCCCTTTCCCAAGAGGAGGCCTCTGTATATCAAGACTCTATTTCCTCCTCTAGGTCCTCCAGAGGCAGGAGGGCTCCTGCGGAGGACCACGAGCTGACGGATCAGAAGCTGTCCAATGAAGAGAATATATCTCCAGATCCTCCTTCGTTTGTGGGCCTCTTTAACCCATCCTTATTCAAGACACTGCTGCACAAGGCCAGCAGCACTGCAAAGATCGAGAGGCCTCCGATTCCGCAGAAAGGACCTTCCACCGGTCCCTCAACCAGTAAGGTCACAAACAACGGGGTGTTCTCACAGCCCACTTATACCCAACATTTTGTTCCCTGCCCACCTCTCTTCTTTGATTCTGTTCAGAACAATATGGGGGCACGGGTTCCTTCCTCCCAATGGGGGGGACAGACAAGAAAATGTTCAACATAGACCCGGCGCTATCAGAGATAATAGAAGTGCCGACAGTAGATGAACCCATTGCAACCCTTTTTTCTCCACCCCTGATAGCCGGGGATGCAGCAGAGGCCCTGAAATCAGAAGATAAGAAGATGGACCTCACCTTCCGCAGGGCACACCAGGCCTCGGCGTGGGCGATCAAGGCAGGCATCACTACATCCTTTTTCGCCAGGACGTCACTACTCTGGCTGCGCCAACTCCAGACAAGTATTTCCCCAGAGGAGGAGAAAACTCACCAGAATTTAAGGGTAGTGGCGGCAGCGGAGCTCATGTCAGATTCCTCCTTACACGCGACCAACCTTTCCACCAGAGCAATAGCGTACAACACTGGTGCACGCAGACTGCTGTGGCTCAAGCATTGGAGAGCGGAGGCAAAGTGGCGTTTAGCAGCGGCACCCTATAAGGGCAGCCGGCTCTTTGGCATGGCGCTTGACCCTTATCTAATAGAAAACAAGGACAAACACAAGATTCTGGCCCATCTGACAAAGAAAATGGAGAGGACAGCTCCCTCCTATTCCCGCAGACCGTCCTTTTGATCTGATGTAGGCACGGAATAGGGGGCCTTTTCCCATCCCTATCAGCCCAGATCGGACCGGCAGAATGAGAGAAGCAGTAACAGGGACAGGTTCCGACAACAGTTCCAAGCAAAGTGGCCCTTTCGAGGAGCCAGGGGGCGTCTCTACCGCAGATCCAAGTGACGGGGGGCTCCCCCATTGGTGGCCGGCTAGCCCTTTTTGCTCACAAATGGCAAGCCACCACCACGGATCTTTGGGTCTTAAATACCATCAGATTTGGCCTATCACTGGAATTCCTCTCAACACCCCCGAACCGGTTCATCCCTTGCCCATCTCCAAGGGACCTGATCAAAAGGAACCTCATCAAGGAGGCCATCCAGCACCTCCTGGACATTCAGGCCATAGAACCGATAGAAAGAGATCAGTGGGGACAAGGTTTCTATTTCATCTTATTCATAGTCTCAAAGAGTTCGGGGGTGTGTGGAGAGCAATACTAGACCTAAAAAGTCTGAACAGGCACCTGGAATACAGAAAGTTCAAAATGCAATCCCTCCAATCAATATTAGCAAGCATCAGAAAGGGAGACCTTCTGACATCCATAGATCTGACGGAGGCCTACCTTCACATTCCCATACTTCCGGAGCACCGGAGGTTCCTCAGGTTCTACCACACGGGACAACATTTCCAATACAGGGCCCTGCCTTTTGGACTTTCCTCAGCTCCCAGGGTGTTCACAAAGGTACTGACAGCACTCGCCGCGTACCTGAGAACAATTCCGGTGCGCCTCCAATGCTACCTGGACGACATTCTCATCCAATCCTCGTCAGTCCAGACAGCACAGTCAGACCTGACACTGACCCTGACAACCCTTCAAGAGCAACGGTTTCTCAGTAAATTTCCAAAAGAGACAGACCGTTCCTTCGACCCACATCCTTCATCTGGAAGTGGTCATAGACACACAAAAATGCACGGTTCATCTTTCTCAAGACCGGCAATGCAGCATTCAAACCATGATCAGACTCATCCGAAGGAAACGAACCACGACACTGGCCACACTCTCGCAGTTGCTAGGGAAGATGGTGTCATGCCTCGCAATCGTGCCTTGGGCATGACTACACTCCAGGGATCTGCAGTGGTTCCTACTCCCATTTTAAAAAAAGGCGATAGGCTACTCAAACTGAAAGGTAAGGGTGCCACCAAGGGTCCTAAGGTCACTCCAGTGGTGGTCTTCCCCAGTGGTAAGAAAGGGACTCTTGTTCAGGGAAGTCAACTGAATCACCCTGACAACGGATGCCAGCCTATTCGGTTGGGGAGCGCACCTACAATCACTGCTAGCACAGGACCAATGGTCAAAGAAAGATCTAAGACACAACATAAACTGGCTGGAACTCAAGAGCCATACACCTAGCCCTTCGCCACTTTCGCAGCACAATGGCGCATCAACACGTTCTGATACTCACGGACAATGTGGCGGCCAAGGCACATGTCAACCGACAGGGAGGCACGCGATCCTTGGCTCTCATGACTGAAGCACAAGCACTAGGAATCTGGGCAGACAGCAACCCAGCCTCCATCAAGGCCGAGCACATTTCAGGAGAAGCAAATAATCAGGCAGACTCCCTGAGTAGGGCGATGATAGACCACTCAGAGTGGAGCCTGCACCCTGCTCTCTTCAGGGAGGCATCAGAGAGATTCGGCCGCCCAGTGCTGGACCTGTTTGCCAGCCCAAAGAATGCTCAGCTTCCGAGGTTCTTCTCCCGTTTTCCGACACCAGGAGCAGAGAGAGCAGATGCACTCGGAGGCCAATGGCCGAAAGGACTGCTGTATGCATTCCCACCACTCCCTCTGATACAAGCAACCATCAGAAAGATATTGCAGGAACAAGCAGAGGTGATACTCATTGCACCACACTGGCCAAGACGGCTGTAGTTTGCCGACCTCGTAAATCTTATTAAAAAAGGACTACTTGGTGTAGGAAGTTCTTGATATTTTTCAAAATCAGTATTTTCAATAGAAAGCCAGATATCGTGTTTGAGTTAAATAAACTATCAAGAAATATTCTGACTTAAGCGGAAATCTTGGCCATTTCAGCTAAGTTTGAGACTTTAACTACCCAATCTTCTATATTAGGTAAACCTTTCATTTTCCAATATTGAGCAATTAATAATCTTGCAGCCGTTATAAGATTTAACATCAACTCCACTTCTTTTGCATCCAAATCTTCCAAAATACCCAGCAAGAATATCTGTGGTTTAAACTTTATCTTTTTCTTAAAAATATTTTGGATATTCCACCAAATCTTAATCCAAAATACTTTAACCTCCTTACATGTCCACCACATATGAAAATACATTGCATCTACATTTCCACATCTCCCACATTTAGATTTCCGCTTATGTGAAGGATTACTTACAAGAAAGATATATATTGGTTTGGAGAAGATGGATTGATTATATTGAGTTGAAATATGGAACAAAAAAATACCATTTGGTTTTTGAATGAATTTTTGATTTTATTTATAACTATGTTAATTTGATGATATTCAATAACTGTATATTTGTTTTAAAAGAGAGTTAAAGGAAGTTATAGATTTGTTAGATTAATAGTTGATTAATATTAGTTAGATCATGATTATTATTATTTTATTGTTAATCCTGTGATTGGCTCTGGGAAGGAGGGGGGGAGGGATGGAGGGTTGGGTTTGGGGGGAGGGGGGATTTATATTGTAAAATTTTATAAAACTTTCAATAAAAAAAAGAAATATTCTGACTAAGAAAAAACACTAAACATTTTTAACGCCACATTTTAAAATTTTTATTAGAACTAATTTAATCCACATAATAATTTTATGAGTTATCACCAAGAATACCCTGGAATACCCAATAATATTTTTAGATTTCAGATGTTCTATGATACAAGTTTTTTTATAGGTAATGAGGTTCAAATGACAGTTTCCCTGGAACATTTCCTTTTTCTTTCAGACCAGGCCATTCTGGCTGATCCATGGATGAGCTACTGTGTTTCCCCGAAAATAAGACCCAACCAGAAAATAAGCCCTACTATGATTTTTCAGGATGCTCGTAATATAAGCTTCAGTTATGATTGTCAGCCAGACGGACACATTTAGTACCGTGTTTCCCCAAATATAAACCTTAATTGGAAAATAAGCCCTAATACGTTTGGGGGGGCAAAAAATTAATATAAGACCGGGTATTATTTTCAGGGAAAAATGGGTAGAAGTTTTCAAAAACAAAGTTGCAATTTTTAGACATGGCCTAGTCCTGAAAAATCAGGCGGGTTATCTAGTGTTTTCTGGAATGTTCTATCTCAAAATGATATGTTTTGTAGTTACATATAGTAGTAAAAGTGTTAAGATTTAAGCGTTGTTACTTTCTCAGCTCAATCCACCTCAAAGGGTGGTTGTGGGGAAAATAGGATGAGGAAAGAGTATTATGTACATTATGTTTGTCTCCTTGAGGTACTTATAAAGTAATAAAGGCAGTATAAAGATCTAATAAATAAAATTTCATTACAGTATTACTCTTATATACTGTATACTGAAATGAATCTCAGGAATCCTAGAAAAGGGTCCTAATAGGTCACATAGTAATTATCAAAAGGTAAGAAAGAGATGAATTTTTAATTGTCATCGAGTAACCATAACAAAAATAAATCCCTAGTGCTATGCATTAGTAAGTGGAGAAAAATGACTATCTTTCTCAACAGAGTTGAAATTTGCATGTTAAGAATCCTGATGGTTTTGTCTGCCACAAAAGTTACTCAATATCATATACATTTGCTTAAAATAATTGTGTAAGTGGAATAAAAATATGTAAATTCTGGAATAGGTGTTATAGTTTCTTGAGATTAAAAGAGGTTAAAATAAAGTTCTGATAATCTCATATTCTGTAGGAAAGAAGTGTAACTATACAGTCTGGAGTCACATTTTAACAATCGTTGGTTAACAGCGGTAGAATCTGTATAAATACTCATATTTATCCCAAATAGATATAACGTATTGCTTAATATAATAGTTAGCAAAATTGTGTAATTTTCAAAATGCACATCTCATTTTTGAATTTTTTAGGAACATTTAATTGAAGTGCTTAATTTTGTTTGGTTTTTTGCAATCTATAATACATAGTAAACAATGAAGGAATTTTACAGTTTTAAAAAAGGGCAATAATCGCATCTTACTGTATAATAGAATGATAAATTTACAAATATATTGATTTGAAAAAGAATTAAACTAGTATTTCAAAGGTGCTGTTCAAAAGGTAACTAAATTTTCTTGGTTTTTTTTCCTTGAAAACATTTCGCTTCTCATCCAAGAAGTTTCTTCAGTTCTGAAGAACTGAACTCACAAGTTAGCACATCCTTTTGTAACGTTTTGTTGATTCTAATAAAGACATTACTAAACTATTTTTTTGTTCATGAATTACATTTGGGTGTGTAAAAAAAAATCAGACAGATCATGCTTTTTTGAGAGGCAAAAATATATTTCACAGTCCTACATAGTTTTATATCTGGATGAATTTGTTGCTTTTAAATATCACAAGAACAAAATAATTAGAATCTGTGAACTTCTCCATTGGATTGTAGCCAAGCAGCCAGAGAAAAGAAGAAAAAGAGGAAAAAGATGAATCACTTTAATTGAACAGCAAATCATTTCTTTGCAGATTAAGACTTATTTGGTAGCCAAATCTTCTGGACAACTAGGTCAGCGGTTCTCAACCTATGGGTCGCGACCCCATTTGGGGTCGATCGATCATTTCACGGGGGTCGCCAAGCAAGGCTGTCCGCCATTTTTTTTTCCGCCATTTTTTCCCCTTTTCCGGCGGGTGCCTTACCTCCCTTGGGCTGGGCCAGCTGGTGGTCGGCCTGCTCCGTCTCTGCCGCTTGCCAGCTACGCCTTGGCCGGTGCAGGGGGCAGAACCACGCATGCGCGGCGCTCCCGGGCAGGGAAAGTCCTCGACTTACAACTGGTTGGGTAGTCCTCGACTTACGACCGGTTTAGTCCTCAACTTACGGTTGGTTTAGTCCTCGACTTACGACCGGTTGGGGGTCGCAGCATTAAAAAGGTTGAGAACCATTGAACTAGGTGAAAGAATGAGACTCTAAAGTTCAGGAAATGAACATCTGACTTTATAGTTTATGACATATTTTTGCTATTCTCACACACACACACACACACTTTGCAGAGGGACAAGGGGGAAGGGAAAATGGATTGTTTGATAGATAAGGCTGCAACACAATGTGCATATTTGAAAAAGAAACAAAAGATTTGAAGAAGAGAACTATCAGGCTCTGTTATCTGTCAGGAACGTGACTATTCTGGAGCATCATTGTTATAAGCAAATGGCGGTTGGCTCTTTGTTTTGCTTCAGTTGGAAAAAATAGAAACTAAGCCAATGAGGCATTGCTTCGAACCTGAACAAATATAATACATTTTGCTCAAGCCTGTCTTTCTTTACCCGAGTCTGTCATCAACAAAGAGATGGTAAAATTGCATAAGTTTGCCATTATTTCACTATTCTAAATAATTAGTGTATAGCAGCAGCTAATAAAAATATATGCAAACCATGTCAATCATTTTTCAATGGGAAAAAGGAGAGCTAGTTTTATTCTAGTTAGTGCTATATATATGTTACATTTTGGGCTCTTACCCGGAATAAATTATAATAACTTCAGTTCACAGTGGAAAGAATAAGGGCAGAATTATCCGTACATTATCCAAGGTGCTGCTAATTTAATCTTTAGTTACATAGAACAGGAATGGTTAGCTTATAGCTTGAATCTTGCTTTTATTTGTAATCCCAAAGCCCTTGCAACTTATACAGCTAAATTTTGATTTCCTAATAGTTTGGGCAGGAAACATACATATAGGTAGTCCTGGATTTATAATCCAGAATTGGGACTAGAATTTTAGCTGCTAAATAATGTCATTGAATTATCATGTGACTGGACCTGATTTTACAGCAGTTTTTACCACTATTGTTAAACAAATCAGATGGCCATTAAATGAATCATGTGGTCATTAAATGAATCCACCTTTTCCAAGTAGCTTTGCTTGTAGGAAGCCAGCAGGAAGGTTGAAATCATGATCATGTGACCCTAAAATTCTGCAATTGTTGTAAATGTGAGCTGGTTACCAATCTCCCAAATTGTGATCACATGACTGCAGGAATGGTGCAGTGGTAGTAACTTTGAAGATGGGTTGTAAGTCAGTTATTCTGAGACTATCAGAACTTTGAACCATTGTTAAATGAACAGTCATAAGTCAAGGACTATCTGCAAGATAGGCTTTATAGAGTATTAAAACCTGAAAACAATTGTATTTATTTATTGTAATGCAGAATTCCTGCATTACAATAAATAAATACATTTTCCTTCTGCAATTGCTTATTTGCTAGCATTTAAATGTATTGACTTGTACATAGATAACTGCTGTTTATCTCAGGCAATTGCAGGTGTCCACCAACTTTGTATAGGTAATTTTCATGTCTATTTTTCCATATAGTATAACTTAAAATTAATTTATATGTTTGTTGTGCTAAGTACTACAAAATATATTTTAATGTTGCATAATGTCTGGAGATGCATAGTAGCAACATAGAATAACAATATGGTTAAATTTGATTCCAGGCTTTATGTTCACATTCCAAGACAAAATAAGTTTCCTCATTGGTTGTGGTGAAAAGAAAAACTTTCCCTATGTAGATATTAAGCATTTTTTGTGTCAGATGATTTCATGATCAGTGAACTTCCTTCAGTTACAAAATATTTAATAATCTGGATAAGAGACTACAATTGTCACCCATTCAATTCTCATAAGCAAGTTTCTGCTGATCTCAGTGGGAATTATTTTTATGCAAGTGAGAGAAGGATAG